GTAGGGAAGCATTTGCACATTAAAGAGTCGTTTTCCGTATTCAGGACCATTTTCAACTGGATATGATACACATGATCGATCGGATCGGTTGTTCCGTCAAACAGAATAAAGACTGGCATAGCAAACTTCCTTGGATGCGGCGCATTCAAGATCTCGTCGGTGAATGGTGAATCCACCGTCCGAGCTGCGGATCGGAGAGCTTCATTCTCTCTCTGGAGTCCAGCGGTAGCTCTGTGAGTTACGGTTCTGCCCTCCGAACCGTGATGAGTGACAGTAACCATGGAGGGCCGGTAAGACGGATCGAACGACCGTTCCTCTATGAACTCTCTCTGCCAAGGCGACGCTACTCGACGGCGATCTACCTCCATCACTTCCTCTCGGTCAAACCTTTCCCGCTGCGGATCAACGTGAGTCGAGCCTTCGTGATCTTCAACTCGACGAACATTTGGCGGCGAATTGTCCATCATCCTTTCATCACGGTGGTGAGCTGACTGATTGTTCTCGTTCTGATCGTCTTGATGCGCGATACTAGATGGAACACCTCCTTCTCCGACCGGAAGCGGATGCGAAACTGCGGGTATTTGCCGATGCTGCAATCCAGCTTTCAATTCTGCATTTTCTTTTCTGAGAGCTTCAATCAAATTCATCAACTCTTCAAGCTTTGTTTGCTGGACAGCCTCCATCGGATTGGAGCTTTCACCTATCATTATTCCCGAACGGAGTAAAGGCATTAATCTCAAGTTCGCGAGTAGATCTAAGCTTCGTGAGTAGGAATTTTTAGATCTGGCTTCTAATTCTCCGAATTATGCTCACTGTTTACAAGATCTGAATTGCCTGGACTCTAAATCCGTCAGATCCTGTCACAATCGAGCAACTCGCGGTTGCGTAGATCTGAAGTCACTCCTGCCAAAGCTTCAAGAATCGTAATTCCTCCAGAGTAGGTCACAATCGCTCAGATCTTGATTCAAATCCGCAAGATCGAGTCTCGATCAACCGAATTGGTTTGAATCCATTCGATACTCCTCATTGATCAACCAAACTTTTATGCGTTTCCCACAGACGGCGCCAATTGAAGATGCAAGAAACTCCTTCTATTCTTTCTCTCTCTAGAATTCTTACACCTCAACCCGAATCAAGATCCCCCTCCTCTTCATTCCAACTCCTATTTATAGATACTTACCAGATATTTACAAGATATTTACAAGATATTTACTAATTGCTGGACCTGGGCCTATTCCTCAGTAAGCCCTGGTCACTCTTGATGGGCTTACTCCCGCTCGGCCCATATGGCAGTGTCTTTCTATGGGCTGACCCAGCTGTTCGGACTGAAGGTTGTGTTTTGCGAGTCGGACCTGGCCCATGTCATCCAGGGCCTCCTCACTTACAATCTATAATTAGGTTTCGTTTTAACCAATCAACAAACTTCCTTCTTTAAACCAATCAAAATTTTGGGGTAAACAAACGTTTTCCATAAGAAAAGTTCTTTTTCCTCAACGTGCCGATTAATTAATACTGTAATATAAAAGGAAAAGTAGTCAATAAATGGAGTGCTTTGGTGGTGAAGAGCTAACTAGGCAGTGACGCTACGCGTGTAAGATGAGAGTGGACTACAAGTTTTTCAACAGAAGCCATCGTAACGATATCCAGCTAGAGACGAGGGTAAATCAGTCAAAATAGCAAAACCTCACGGAAACCAATATAATTGGGCTACACTTTCACTCCAACGGGTAACGAGTAGTAACGAAAAAAAGGCAACACCTCGCTGTGTTTGACAGCATGAATTACACTTTGGTTTGTTTCTATTTAAAATGTATTCTTCAAAAAACAAAAATAGTTTCAGATAAAATAATTTTTTATTTTTATTTTTTAATGTTTGACAAAAGTTTAAGTCAAATATAACGGTATTATCGGTTGAATTAACAAATTGTTGGATATATTAATTTACACTTAATTTTGATTTATAAAATTTTAATAATTTTTTTATAGTAAATATTTTATAACAACCAAAAACTAAAAAATAAAAATTATATACCACCTTAATCAATTTAGATATTATTTGAGTCTCTACACTGAATTGTACCAATTAAAAAATTTGTTGATGAAGAACGTGATGAAGACAGAAGTACGCCATAATTACTCATGGAGGTTATAAAGATATCATTTGTTGATGGTGATGCCGGTTTAATGGATTTGAGAGCTTTTGGTGATGGGAGGCGTTTTTAACGTGTGGGACAAATGAGAGCTGGAAGGTGATGTTTATGTTCATATGGATTACCAAGTTGAATTGAAATTAAGGGATTTGAACTTAAACCAAAATAGACTACTGAAGTTGGATTTGAAAGTCTAAAATGAATGTTATTATGTTAGACATATATGAAACTTTTTTTTTATTGCAATATAATTAGTTAAAAAAATTTATAAGATGAATTTTCTTGTAATTTGTTATTTGAATTCTATTCATATAATTATATCAAATCAATCCATACATATTAAAATTTAGATATAAATTAGTAAATCTAAACTTTAACTATAAATAATTTGTGATGTTATGGCCGGAAATTTGGTCGGTCTACCCGATTTTGATCCAACAAAATGGGCTTTGGGTGGGTTTCTCACCAAAACCACAAGGCAGCATCAGTGGAAAAACAAAATTTTGATCTGTTTCTCTCTTGACGGCCTTAAAACGTATGGATGGAATTTGCATTCTATTTCCTTGTTTGATTTGACATTTAAAGTGAAAATGGACCACACACTTGGAATAAAATTTTATTTCACAGGAATGAAAATTCATGAATGAAAATTTTGGCCGCCGCGCCTTTCACTACCATCACCGCTGCTTTTTACCACCGTCACCGCCTTACATCGCCTACCACCGTCACCTCCCTCCCCCACTACTACCGTCTTCCACCGTCGTTACCTTCCACAACTACCACCGTCTTCCACCATCACCACTTAGAATGATGATTATCACTTCATTCCAACACATTTCATATTTACAACCAAATAATGTAATTAGAGTGTGCGTTCTATTCACATTTTCATTTCATTTCCAAGTTCATTCCATTTAATTCCTGCATGCCAAACAAACTAGGCATTTGGGTTTGGGACTGAAATTTATAATCTTTCAATTTTTTAATTATAAAAAATTTCGCCTTATCTTTAACTATGAATGTAGGCTTTAATGTAAACATGTAAATATTTGTATTATTTGTATGTGACATGTTTACTTTTTTATTTAAAGTTTAATTTTTTTTTTTTTCTTAGAGCATGCGTATCGACCCCATAACACACGCATCATTCAAGTCAAGAGTACGGTTCGAAAGTGAGACTTTAAGGATTTACTTTCCGAATCCTTACCAACGCCGTTATGCCTCTAAGGACTAATTTATTATTAATTTGAGTCGTAATGTAATTGAATGTCTATCATTCTATACAATCAGAACCTAAACCATATTGCAAAATTAAAAGGTAATTTTGCATTTTGTTTCCCAACATTTGAATTTTCCAAACATCAAGTTTGTGGTTTTTATTAAGGTTTGAGACGTAAACTTGTAATCTTCTAATTTTTTAATAATAATTTTTTCCGGCCATATGATTGTAGGCTTTGCGATAAACATATAAATATTTATGTTATTAGTACGGGATATGTTTACTTTTTTATTTAAAATTTAATTTGTTATTGATTTGAGGGTAACATAATTAAATGTCATATCATTCCACCTAATCAGAACCTAAACCATATTGCAAAATTAAGAGGTAACTTTGCATTTTGTTTCCCAAAATTTGAATTTTCCAAAAATCTAGTTTTTGATTTTTATTAAGGTTTGTGTTATTTGTATGTGACATGTTTACTTTTTTATTTAAATTTTAATTTGTTATTAATTTGAGGCATAACATAATTGAATGTCATATCAGTCACGTCCAATCAGAACCTAAATCATATTGTAAAATTAAAAGGTAATTTTGCATTTTGTTTCCAAACATTTGAATTTTCTAGACATCAAGTTTTTGGTTTTTATTAGGGTTTGAGATGTAAACTCGTAATCTTTTAATTTTCGAATCATAACTTTTGTCGGGCAGTAAGAATGCAGGCTTTGGGATAAACAAATAAATATTTGTGTTATTTGTATGGGATATGTTTAAAGATTTATTTCAAATTTAATTTGTCATTGATTCGAGGGTAACATAATTGAATGTCATATCATTCGATCCAATCAGAACCTAAACTATATTGCAAAATTAAAAGGTAATTTTGTATTTTGTTTCCCAAAATTTGAAATTTTCAAAAATTAAAGTTTTTTATTTTTATTAAGGTTTGAAATTAAAACTTATAATCTTCTAATTTTTGAATAATAAATTTTTTTCACATCCCGTGAATATAGGCATTAAGATTACTCGTGTAAATACATGTGTTATTTACATGTGACATGTTTATTTTTTTATTTAAATTATAATTTGCTATTAATTTGAAGTATAATATAATTGAATGTGATATCATTTAGGTCCAATCCGAACCTAAACCATATTGCAAAATTAAAAGGTAATTTTGCATTTTGTTTCCCAAAATTTGAATTTTTCAAATGTCAATGGCCTGCTTGATTTGTAATTCTAAAAACAATTCTCAAAAATTCAAAAAATAGAAAATAATTTTCAGAGAATAATAAAAAAATATTATCTAAAAACATGCATTTTTATAATTGAATTTTTATAAAATAATTTTCTAGATTTATTTATTATTATTACTATTTTTTTTTGTACATTTCTGTTTTCAGTTTTGCGTTTTTGCCATAATAACCAAGCGTGGCCCAAGTTTTTTTTGTTTGTTTTCATTTTTTTTGGTTTCGGTGTAATAAATGTAAAAGGATCGTGGTAATTTTTTTGTTTTGGTCTAATAAATGTAAAAAGGAAACATATTTTCTAAGGGTATGGAAGTAATTTAATTATTTTTGTATGTTTCCACAAATATCCTTTCCACCCAAACCAATCCACATCTGTTACCCTCCCAAATCCAATTCCTTCCTACTTCAGCCACCTCACCTGACACATCGAGCCCCAAAATCGCCATTTTCTAAAACCCCTTTTCAACACACTGCACGCGACAAGACTCGCCGGCAAAATGGTATCGGACTCGGAGCTCGTCGGCCGGCTTCGCGAATTCCTCAGCACGTCAGACCTGAACACGACCACCACTGGCATCGTCCGCCGGAAGCTGGAGGAAGATTTCGGCATCGATTTGTCGGACAAGAAGGCGTTCATTCGAGAACAAGTCGATCTCTACCTACAGAGCCAGCAAGAACAAGCCGAAGAAGACGAAGGCGAAGAAGAAGATGGAGAGACTAATAAAGTAAATTCAGAAGAAAACGAGGAAGAAGAGGAAGAGGACGAGGAAGAAGAAGAATTAGAACAAACCACTAATGGAAAGGGCAGAATTAAAAGAGGGTCAGTTATTATACATATATTATATATGCATATATAATATATGCATGTGTGTGTATATATATATGTATTGCAAAGTTGACTTATTTTTATCAATTCTTAGTTTAAAATGATGCATAATAATTGTTGAGTGCCCTGATATTTGAATTACAGGCATGAAAGTTTGGAAATTATTTTGAATAATTTGTGGCTGAAATGTGCTTATTTTATTTACATTGCGTGCCTTGAAAATTATTGCCAAGATAACAAGCATACTTGCCTTCAACGATACTTGATGATGTAATGTTCCATATGCAAATTTACATGTTCCTATTAAATTTGACAGTGAATCTCAATTAGGGTTTTCTATTGTTATTAACTCCTCTGACATAATATTTTTAGAAAAAATTATATCTTTCAAGAGTTTAATGGTATGTGAGATAGTACGCATTGAATTGTACTATTGAGCTGAATAGAGAAGTTCAAGAAGTTGTTACAACTTCATTGTTTAGTGAAATATAATGGAGAAGTATTCTCTAGTTACTATAGAGTATAGACACATGAGATTTTCCTCTAAAACTCTTTTGGGAGAAGAGGAAACTCATACGAGATCGAGAACCTGCTATGGTAAAAGATGGTTTGATGTGCTTAACGAGTATAGAAAAGATAACATCCACCAGCTTAACTCTAGCAATTACAAATAATTATAGCGTATTATAGCGATCTAGTGGTTGCTAAATTATTATGCTTCAGAGTTCACTTTCGGAGTATTTCAGCAGAGTTTTAGCAACCACAAAGCTATCTCACTAGATGGTTTTAGATTTTTCTGGAAAAGTCTAAAATCTTAAGTCTCAAAGGAAGACAGTATGTTTTGTGAAACTTGCAAAACACATGTCAATCACTTAAACAATCATCATGACTAAAACGAAGACAGCACCGTAACATTAGTTAGTACCTTAAGCAACTATCATAGCATGAATGAGTAGAATATTTAATGCAAACTTATTAACTTGTAATGACTTTTGGGTCCAAGTCACACTATCTATAAATAGCAGAGGACCTCGCTTTTTGAGGGACTTTGTTAATCCACTTTCTCAAGCAAACAAAGAGAAAACTTAGAAAAGATAACCTCCACCAGCTTAACTCTAGCAATTACAAATAATTATAGCGTATTATAGCGATCTAGTGGTTGCTAAATGATTATGCTTCAGAGTTCACTATCGGAGTATTTCAGCCGAGTTTTAGTTTTCTCTTTGTTTGCTTGAGAAAGTGGATTAACAAAGTCCCTCAAAAAGCAAGGTCCTCTGCTATTTATAGATAGTGTGACTTGGACCCGGAAGTCATTACAAGTTAATAAGTTTGCATTAAATATTCTACTCATTCGTGCTATGATAGTTGCTTATAGTACTAACTAATGTTAAGGCGCATTCTTCGTTTTAGTCATGATGAATGTTTTAAGTGATTGACATGTGTGTTGCAAGTTTCACAAAACATGCTGTCTTCCTTTGAGATTTTAGACTTTTCCAGAAAAATCTAAAACCTCGCTTCTAGTGAGATAGCTTTGTGGGTGTTTCTCCAATCTTACATAGTCATAGTTCATTAAGTGTGAGACAAGTTTAATCTGTATATTGTTGATCCTGATTCCTGAAAACTACTAGTGTAATCTATTGTTATTGTCGTTTTTTTTCCCCTTATCTTTTTGTATGTGGGAGGGTAAGGGGAGAGTAGGAACAAAAAAGGTTTTGTTTAGGGAATTGGAAAAGTGATATTAATATAATAGTTTTTTTTTCCCCCTTTCCTTTTTCCTTTTCTTTTTTCTCCCAATATTCTTTAGTCTATTCTTTTAATCATAGGTAAGATTTATGAAGGAAGGTGGGAACGGATTTCATTTCATATTGACATTCCTGCTCACAAGGTTTTATAGAATTTTTGACAAAGTTCGTGCTTTTTAGCATTGTTAAACATTTAATAGCTTTTTATCATTTCAGGTCTAACAAGCAGAACAAAGAGGTCAAGAAAAGAGGAGGTGGAGGTGGATTTACCAAATTATGTAGTCTGTCTCCACAACTTCAGAAGTTCACTGGGGTGCCTGAATTGGCCAGAACTGAGGTATCCAAAGATTTTGCTGTTCCTGCTCTCTTTTTTCTTTTTTTCTTTTTTTCTTTCTTTTCTTGTCTTTTTCTTTTTTACTTTGCCATCATAGATATATTGAATTCTCAGACCTGTATTTTATCTGTCAATTATGTTGTCTAGGTTGTCAAGCAACTATGGAGCTACATACGGGAAAAGGATTTGCAAGACCCAAGCAATAGGCGAAATATAATTTGTGATGACACACTGCGTCCCCTTTTTGGTGTGAATTCCATAAACATGTTCCAAATGAACAAGGCCCTAGCAAAGCATATCTGGCCATTGGAAACAGATGGTGGTACTATTCTATCATTGTCTTTGGTTTATTTTTAATTTCCATATGCTCATGTGAATTTTCCATATGATTGGAGCTTGCGTATCTTATTTTTTGGTTCAACGTGTTAGATTTGGTAGATCAATTAAACAAGTTATATTTGGGACATACTTTGGCAATAAATTTTGTTCATTATATTTTTGACTATTTATCATCATAATTTGATTAGAAGAACATGATTCTTTATGGTACTTGGTTACAGTAATCAGCGGCGGAGCGAGAAATTTTCGTTTAGGCAGGCCGAACTAAAAACAGAGAGAGGCTAACTCAGTGCACACGAAACTTTCAACAAAGAACTTTTATATTTATTTGACAAGATTTAAGCTTTCAAAAGTTGGCTAAAATTGTCAAAATAAATTTTATATGAATTATGAGATGACACAAGTTATTTTTATTTCTTAATTCATAATTACTGGGGCCAAAAAAAAAAAGTGTTTTGAAAAGTTTTGGGTGGCCAATTAAAAATTTCTTTGAATTTTGGGGGCCACAAGTAGGGGTTTTTAAATAAATAAAAATTTTGATTTTGTGGGGGACATGCCCCCCCTAGCTCCGCCCCTGACAAGGCGTCACTTGAGAATAGAATGAGGAATTCATTGTTTGCCTTTTCTCCTTCTGATTTACCCATGGTTTTATGTGAACAGCATAAAAACCAATCAGCCACAACCATAATGTTATACTGGATGATGAAAGAATATCTTTGTTGCTGATGAGAAAGTATTGAAAATAATAGTCGTATTATAACACCACTACTCTATATGATGTTTGACTTGTTTCCCTCAAATCAGACTGCACGTTCCACTTCATGGGACTAGAAACACTAATGATAACACTAAAACTAGAGATAACACTTGCCCATTGAGCTTAGTCAAATCAGTAGTGCTACACAAGTTCAAATTGGAATTCTAGATAATTGCATGACTGATGATGATTTTGAGTCATAGGAGGAGATTATATGTGTGATATTGGAATGGGATACTGTACACTTCAAAAATCTTTTAGGTTGTAAATTCAGTAGAAGAGAAGGATTTTGGGTGGCCAATTTGATGATAATGACTTCTAGGATTATGTATAAAAATTGACAATTGCTGCAGGTATAAAATAGAACAAAAACATGTAATTAGCATCAATGAAGGGCGACCTTAGAGTCATGAAAACAACTTCAATAGATGAGAGTTTATAGAGGCTAGCAGCTAGCTGTTTATTGGATCTGGATGGGAAAGTAAATGGGTATATATGGGTTGGGTGTTAGCCCCACCTAACAGCTTAAGTTTTTGGGTTGGATCACGAAGCACCCAGCCCGTTACACTAGTTTACAATAAAAGAATTGGCAAGGTAAGGGAAATGAGATGAAATGATCTGGTTGGCATCTGCTAACAAAGCGGCACTTAGATCTTTTTGAAGTGTCCGAATCTAGGAAGTACTTCATTTCATTTAAGTCTAATTACAACAATGCCACATTCAGCACCTCCACAATGAGCTAATCCCACCTGAATTGTTATTTGGTCTTTGTCTGCTTGTTAATCTTTTTGCATCTTTCTATTTTTTATTTCTCACGCTGTTATCGGATCTTTCTTAAGTTCTTATCTCATTTAAGAGCTCGCCATATTGACTAATGTAGTCTTTTTAAAGCCTGTTGAGAATTTCTTCCGTTGAGCCAGTCTCTTCGTGTTCTTTTTCTTTAGTAAAATTGATCCTTCTGTTATATCATCAATACTTGTGTTAACAAATTTATGTAATTCTTCAAATATTGCTTACATGGTTTTCCATAATTTAGCAGCTCCTACTAAGTCTACTCAGAAGGAAAAGCAACGGAGGCAAGAGAGTGAAGAAGGTGGGAAATGTTATTTACGTTCTTAGATAATGTTAGTTTGCTCTTTGTCTGCTTGTTAATCTTTTTGCATCTTTCTCTTTTTTATCTCTCACGCTTTTATCAGACCTTTCTTAAGTTCTTATCTCATTTAAGAGCTTGCCATATTTACTAATGTGGTCTTTTTAAAGCCTGTTGAGAATTTCTTCTGTTGAGCCTTTTTCTTTGGTAAAATTGATCCTTCTATTCTATCATCAATCCTTGTGTTAACAAATTTATGTAATTCTTCAAATATTGCTTACATGGTTTTCCATAATTTAGCAGCTCCTTCAAAGTCTACACAGAAGGAAAAGCAACGAAGGCAAGGGAGTGAAGAAGGTGGGAAATGTTATTTAAGTTTTTAGATAATGTTAGTTTGCTGAGTCACAGGACTCACAGATATTTCTAGTTGTTAATACCTTAAATACTTTCAAGTCTATATTCTCCACTTACCTGCTACAGGTAGTGACATTTCTTGCAGCTTAACTTGATTTTTTCCTTTCCGTCACCCCATGCTGGGTGGCTTCATATATATATACATATATATATATATATATAATTCCCCACATTAGCTGTCTGTCTACATGAATACCTGTCACAACATTTTTTATTTTATATATTTTTAACTTCCTGTTTGATTTGCATTATAAATCCAGATGAGCCTAAAAGAAAGGAAAAGCGGCAGAAGGGAGGGAATTCAGGTTTTCTTGCTCCGATTCCACTTTCAGATGCTCTAGTGAAGTTCCTCGGTACAGGAGAAAGTGCATTGTCACGGGCTGATACCATAAAGAGAATCTGGGGATACATTAAACAAAACAACCTCCAGGTATTAGTTATCTTCTCTGGCAACTCTGTATGCTGTTGTTGCTTGTAAGGACACTGGCATGCATATATTTATTCCACCCATCATGATCATTGCTTGATTGGTGACAGAAAATTCTCGTCATTTTCTTTTTCTAAAGGAGAGAGAATTCATGCGGCTGACCCCATTCGTATGGGATTAAGGCAAGTATGATGATGATGATAATTTTCTTTTTCTAAAGAAAAAATTAAAAAAGAAGAAGCAAGTATACATTATTTGATGATTTAACAAGCAAAGCACAAGAATAGTAGCACTCTCATTTATAATTAGTCCATCTAACACTTTACGATATTTAATGGGTGATCTTGTTTACTGCATCATCAACACTGGCTACTGTCTTCTTCAATTACTGCACAAACAGTCCCATCTTTACACTGATCAACTTTGACTTGGGTTGTCATTGTTCTCTTAATTGTTGCATGACCTACTTTCATTTGATTGATTAAAATAAAAGATTATAAAAATAAGAAGAAAAAAATATGTAAAAAGTGAATTTTACAAATGCGATCACACTGAGTTTATGAAATTGTTGCCAGAAAACCGAAAAAGTACATGACCTTAAGGCCCAAGGTAGCCCTGCAATGCTTCTTCTTGAAGATGATTTACCCCACAGATATACATGCAAAGGTTTCTCTGGCTGCACAAAATCCTCACGTGTTTAACCCTCCCTGGTTTATATTACCTGATTAAAAACTCTGGGCATGGGAACTCAGCATTTCTTATACTAGAGATTTCTAAAGAAAATTAGAGTAGTTCATGATAGTATGAGCCTATGATGTAGAATAACATAATGTTAACTTTATGGAAGGCAATTTAATTTTCACCAGAGACGCGTTTGAAATAGGTGTCAATCTTCCATAAAAAACTTTAATTGAGAAATGGAATTAGCTAAGGTCGAAGTATGCAACTGTGGACGGTAGTAATAATATGTGCAAGTATGATCAGTGTATTTATGTTGGTCATTCGTCATTACTTTGTGGTGCTAGTTTTAGCCTGTCAAATTTCTCTACATCTCCAAATTCAACAAGTGTTGTGCTGAAATGGAGTACAAGTTTTTCACTGGATATATGTGCTATATATCTGATTTCTTAGTGAACATGTCACTAAATGGTCTCTTACAGTGTTCTTCCGTTATTCTTGAAGGATCCATCTGATAAGAGGAGAATATTATGTGATGAGAAGTTGAAAGAACTCTTTGATGTTGACTCGTTCAATGGATTCACGGTTTCGAAACTCCTAACCAGTCATTTCATAAAGGCGGAACAGTGAGTTACTTGTACATTGTTCTTGTTAAGCCCAAGAGAACTGGGGATTTTGCACGAGTTTAATTTTAGAGTCTAACTGTTCTTTTTGGTATGTTGTCCTCTTCTGTTTTGTATCTTTGCTGACAGCCCATCAGAGGGCAGATAGTAAACAAAACGGAAAAAAAAAAAAAAAAAAAAAAAACCAAACTAAAAAAAGAAAAGAAAATTGATGCTTCTGTCTTTACTGTCTTTTGACATGATAATTTTGTATCCTCCTCCAGAAGCTGATTATAAGTTTCTTATGTTTTTTTTCTTTTTATTCTGCCTAGCTTTCAGAAAGATTTGTACACTCTATTTTCTATTTGTTATCATTGCCATTAACATGTTCAGATCCAAAAGCTCGTTATTTTTATGAAAATTTAGTAGACAAAACTACAACTGTATTATCCAATGGCAACTTGCATATTTTATATTACTGGCCTTTTAATATTTTAAATGCTCTTCTCACAAAAGTTTGTGATTATCAATTTATCATAATCCATCTGCCGTCGCTGTTATTATGCACGCACGAGGAAGTTTACAATACTTCGGGTACCATACTGCAAGGGGTTTCTTAGTTATTGGATCATTCATCAAGTGAGTTCTGCAGTCACATCTAACAGCCGCCGGGAATCTCAAGGGTACGGTATATTGGGATATTGATACTGTGAACTTTCATTTGACACACAAAAGCGCCTGGACTCATTATTTAAATGATTATCATAATTTGTGCATCCCAAAATATATAAAATAAAAGTGAAAGGTTAAAAACTTGACTTAAATTCATTGTTCATTACACACACACACACACATATATATATATATGTCGTTGCGTGATGCTGGTTAGGGATTCTTTCTTGTACTCTCCTGGATAAGGTTGATTTACCAAAAATAAATAAAAAATTTGAACGCAAGAGAAATATGCTGTATCACTGGCCGGAGTGCAAGTTTATTGGAATCTCTTTCTTTTTATGGGAACTGTCATTAGTGGTTTATGAATCTTCAAATGAGATAAGATTTGAATGGATTTGTTGAAAAAGATCGTTATACAAATGTTCTTTACCACTGATTTTAATATTCTTTTATCTGATTATATTCTAAGAAATTTTCTTCCACGGCAAACAAAATGTTCAAACATGTGCTTGATTTTTCTTTTTGGTTGAACGAACTATATGAAATTGTCAGAACATCTTCACACTTGACTTGATATACTTGGTGTCTTTTAAATTCTTTATAATGTTTTAACCAGTTAGTTAATGATCAACAAAAAGAAAGAATAAAAAATAAATGATGGAAAAGAAAATGAATTGCATGCCCAAAACAAGAAGGAAAAAGAATGCTATGCAACTTCTTTTATGTTTCGTTTGATAGGAAATAAAAAAATTGGAAGGAAGGCAGATATGAAGGATAAATGAGACATCCCAAGAGAAGAGACAAAAAATAATTATAAAAAAAAAATTAAAAATTACCGTGTTTGTTAGAAGAGAAAAGAAGTGATTATATTCATTATACATAATATTATAATTTATTGAGGATATTATTGTAATTTAAAATCTATATAATAATCTTCCCTATCATTTGTCAGTGTATATTTGAAAAACTGACTCATCTATTCTATTGTGATTTTACTTTTTGTCTCCTCTCACCAAAGTTTGTCCTTTCATTTCTATTAGTTTTATATATTGTTACGAAAGTCTCTTAACTTATTGCTTCAAAGCACCCTAATATGTGATGATTAAAGTGTTCACCTTGCTCACCTTGCTCCCCGGTCCATTCCAAGTTCGCTGGTCCATTCCGCCATCTCCATAATCGAGCACACCACTGTCCGTGTTTTGAGCACACAGCCGTCCACAGTTCACCGCCGAACCCCCTTGAGCTCGCCGCCGTCTCCACAGTACACGACCGAGTCAACCGAACTCTCATCACAGCCGAGTCCTCGGCGCACAAGCCGCCATCATCCGAGACTGAGCCATTCCGCCGACCTCGAATTTCTTTGGTCTTTTCTCTCTCTCTCTCTCTCTAACTCTCTGTTTTGGATTGTGTTGGGTGAAAAATATCTTTTGGCAGAAAAAAAATGTAAGAAGTGTATAAGTTAAAACGACGCAGTGTGTTATAAGGGTAAACTGGTCTTTCAAAATTTTCGGTGCCAGAAGCTGATGTCATGGGGTTAAATTGCAACACAATCATAGTTCAGGGGGGTAAATTGCAACAAAGTCATAGTTCAGGGGAGTTTTTTGTAGTTTAGGGGGGTAAATTGCAACAAAATCATAGTTCAGATGAGTTTTTTTTGTAGTTCAGGGGGCTTTTTTGTAAATGACGAATAGTTTAATGGGGTTTAATGCACTTTACCGTTTATTGTATCTATTAGTTGTAATTAGAAGAGGGATACTTTTTGTTGGAACAAAGAGAGTATTTTATAAAAATATTAAATATAAAATAGATTTGGTGAACCAAGTTTTTTGGGAGGATTGCAGCGTTTAGTGGTATCTGCTCAATTTTTTTATAGGAGGTTCATAGAAATAAATAAATAAATAAACAGAATTTTAAGTATAGGAGGGTTCATAAAAAAATAAAAAAATAGTAGACTAAATTTTAAAAGTATTGTTGTCTCCTTAATGTCACGAAAGTCCGTCACAATTATTTGCCATGTGCATTGTCAAATAAAGTTTTTTTTTTTTTTTTTTAACTTTTTTTTTGACGTAAATATTGTGACACTTAATTTTTAATTGTTATTATTATTTATATATATATATTTAGAATAGCACTCTTGTGACAAGTTATTCTTATTTAATCACTGGAGTGAGTTTATTTATTTATTAATATGTGAAATGTATGAATCATCTAATAATTTTTTTAATCTAACATTTATACAAGAAAGGAACTCATAACCATCGTCATGATAGGACCCTCTCCTTATTACTCCTATTTGTGGAGGCTCTTTGTTCGTGACCTAGGAAGCATTGGGTAGGGCACAATTGGACAACGTAAGGATATATTTTAGACACTGGGTTGATTTTATAACTATTTTTTCAGTCTCAAAATAAATGTTCATCTTTTTAATTTTAATTGTTTCAAAATAAATATCTCATTTAAAAAGTCAAAATATTATTTTTATGACATAACAATTTAACTTTTTATATTGAACTCATAAAAGTAAACTGTCACATCCATATGGACTCAATGGGGGATAACTTAATAATTCATTCAATACCAATACAATAAAAGGTGTCAAAAAAAAAAAAAAAGAACATATATACTAAAACTCATCTTCTTACAAAGTTAGATTTCCAAAACAGATATTTTTTTTGGGACGAAAGGAGTATTATTTTAGAGTAATGGGATTTAATGTAATTAGAAATATATTATGTGTTAATTAAAAAAATAGTATAAAATTTAAGAAAAAAAATTAACAAACATCTTGCTCTAAACTCCAAATTAGTGATTTTATTCATAATTATATGCATAAAATGAAAAAAAAATAAAAAAATTACTTATCTATATCTATACTATAATTAAAAAACTAAAATATTGAAATTCAATAAAAGAAAACCTAATTAGAAAACGAATTATATAATATAATTTTTATTTATTTAATTAATTCAATAAAAGAAAATCTAATTATAGGAGAAATAAAAATAATATAGTAGTAGGAAAAATTAAAATTCAATAAAAGGAAATCTAATTAGAGAAGAAAATATATAATTTATTTCAAAAAAATACATAACCACAATTCTATATCAAAATATATCAATAATTAAATTTCAGTATTTCAGAAACAACAATTCTATATCAACATATATCAATAATTGATTTTCAGTATTTTAGTACATTAATTTATTTAATAATATAGTAGTAGGAAATAAGAATGAAATATATAATATTTAAAAACTTAATTATTGAAATTCAATAAAAGGAAAACTAATTATAGAAAGTAATACTACCGTAGTCCCATAAAAAAATTTCACCTTTCCATTTTTGGCTGTCTCAAAATACTTGTCCCAATAAAAGGAGATATAACTAGAAAATATTAAAATTCAAGAAAAGGAAATCTAATTAAAGATTGAAATATATAATTTGTTTCAATAAATACATAACAACAATTCTAATCAAAATTACCAATAAAATCATTAACTAAGAATTCTATATTTAATTTTTATAATTTATTTTAAATTTTTAGAATGTTATTTATTTCAATAAATAATATATTTTCATAATATAATATATATAATAAATAATCATGCAAAATTATTCTTATATATATATATATATATATATAATTTTTTGACGTATTCATGTTGTACTCATATATATATATATATATATATATATATATATATATATGTTGTATTATTGTGTCCATATTGTGTGATGTGTCTTTTTATGTACTTCATAACTAAGGAACCTTTGTTATGAAATGATTTTTTTAGTCCCCAGGGATAAAACGGCGTTAGTAGGAATCCAGAAAGTAAATTCTCGAGGTCTCGTTTTCGAACTACACTCTTGATTAGAATAATACGTGTGTTGTAGGGCTAATACATGCGTTCTAAAACAAAAAATGAGATGATTTTTTTGATAAAAATTGATGGATAACATTACTTTTTAATTATTATTTTTTTATTCTTCATTTTTTTTACATATATTTATGAAGATAAATCACTTTAATGATCTATTAATGGTTTATGTTAATCAAAAGGAAGAGCCAAGCCGAATTGTTTGACCAAATTATTTTGCACCGTGGATGTATTGAAGTGAGTCTGACTTAGTAACTCAATTTAATGTATCGGAAGACTATTCACTTGAATGCACAAAATGTTATAAATAATTACATCAGACTATTAAATTTGATTATTTATTTTAAAAATAATTAATTTTTATTAATGGTTTCATATTCTCATGTCCATGTACAATCCATCAATTTAATTGACTTTTAAGATGTAGCTAACTCTAAGAGACACAATTGATGGTTGTAAGTACTCGTCTTTTTGCAAGCAATAGCATCTTTCTTATCTAATGTCAATTCCAAATAAATGTACTTTCTTTTTTTCCTAATTCAAAAATAAATATTTAAATAATAGGTTTGGGCATGTCAAGTGGGTCCTAAACCATCTATCAGAAAAACATAATCCTTATCTCTATCTAAGTTGGGGATCAGATTTAGACCAACAACTGTGAGCAACTTTTGCAGTATCTATATATCTATCTTTTTACTTGGCAATGCCCAAAATTTGGTACCTTTTGGCATGTGAAAGTGGTCTTTGGGTTTGTTTGTTTTTCTAAAGTTAATAAAAGATTCCCTTGTAACGGACGGAGAGAGAGGAGAAGAATCCAACGGCTCAATCAAGAGTTGTTGGAAATGACAACCCTACGTTTAACTTCATATATTTTGACAATCCACCATAACCCCCATATAGGAAGATGAAATGTAATCTGAAACCCTACTTTTAAGGATTCTTTTCAGTTTGGATTTCATTAGTAAAGTTGAATAATTATATTCAAGGTGAAATTCACGCGATCCGATACGACATCGTTTTTCTGTAAAGAAGAGAGGAGGAAGAGAGGAGAAGATCGATAAATCTTGACGGCACCGGTATAGTGCCTGCCAAGTGCTCTCTGACGGTCAAGTTAGTCACCGAAGGTCTAAAAAGAAGACAAAAATTTAATAATAGTTTTTTACCTTATTCCCGAATTGTCATTCTATTTATTGTCGCCTTCCCTTATTCTCGAATTTCATCATCCTCATCCCATGGGACTTATCCCATGGAAATCTAGATTTATCATAATCCCCATAGAAATCTTATCCTGCATAAGATTTGTTATCATTCTTATTCATGGAAATTGTTACTTCCAATAATAGTTGATCACCAAAAAGATTTGGCGGCTGGTTGGTTAACTCGTTAGGTCAAGATAGGTTTATTTTTCCCTATGAGATAGTATTTCTAATCAATGTCTCCACAAAAAATTAATAAATAAAGTTGATGTGTTTTGGGGATGAGATTTTTATCTAGTTGGCTAATCACTTCTGCTTGAAAAATAGGTTTAATAAAACATAAAAAAATTATAAATAATCAAAGTTTAATAAATAAATGCAGTTCACATTTCACAAGCTCATGAGTTTAACCTAGCTAGTTGGAAATCAGTTCAATTTTCTAAATGCATTTCGATAAATGAATAAGTTGAACATGAACAATTTTGAATCTGATTCGATTCATTTTACAGGAATAATTGCACATATCTGATGACACCTCGCTAAAAAAAAATATGATATCTCACTTTTTTCTTATGAAAAAAAAAAAAAAAACATTTAACAATTTGCAAACTATTAGCTTACTTTTTCGCAAATTGCTTTATGTTACAAGAGAACTTAAAAATGAAAATTAAATTTTAAAATTGTTTGCTTGACAGTTTTTTAAAATTTTTTTAAGTAGGTTAAAAAGGCCAAATTTTTTATATCCGTTTGGTTAGATGGAAATAAAATAAAAGAAATAGAAAGTGAAGTGAATGAAAAGCAAAGAGATTTTTTAGCATGCATTTGGTTAGGATGAAAATTATAGAAAAATATTAGTTTGTTAGTTTGGATTGCATGAAACTGAAAATAAAGTGATTATGCATACCAAAACTACTTTTATGAAGTAAAATGATGGATTATTAAATTATAATATATAATTGTTTATATTCATTTTTATTATTTATATTTATAATAAGGCTTCATAATATTTCCTTAGGTAAAATTAATTATTAGTTTAAGATAAACAAATTAAAAAGAATAAAAAATTAGAGATACAAAAAGGCGATACTACTGTTTGGGAGAAAAATCAAATATTTCACCATATAATATATATAATATATATATACCGGATTTTGAGTGGCTAGAATTGCAACATAGAATAGACAATTAAAAAAAATAAAAAAATCTATTTAGAAGTGTGATCTATTTTGAGCAATTTTACTCAAATTATCATTGATATTCTGTATATATAATTATATAATTTGTCTCACGAACTTACCTCATAATAGAATATTGATATTCTGTATATATAATTGCATAGTTGCAAGTTACCTCATAATAGAAGTTTACCTCATAATAGAAGTTATTTTGAGAAGAACTTTACACGATTAAATTACTGGGTTAAATAGGAATTACAAATAAATAAACGCTTCTTTTACGTGAAAATAAAAATTTCAAGCGTGTTTTTTGTGAGAAAAAATTTGAGGAAAAATACTTAATAAGGGAAATGTGAAATGTTATAAGAAATGTTTCTCAAACTCCAATTAATTATAGAATAACGAGTTATAAGAAATAGTTAACGAATTTAATTTATATAAGTATGTTGGTAAACTCTAAGGTGTGACATTATCATGACATTATGTGATGGAACCACCACCCTCAACATAATATAAATTCAGTAATTGTTGAATTTGAAATCAATTCTCTTAATTTTATTGTCACTCTTGAATTTCTAAATCATCTTCTAGTGTACTGCTATTAAACCTCCGTCTATTTCTTTTCAAATCATCAACTTAATCAAATAGTGATGATAGTTTTTTTTTATTATGATTCAACACCACTATTAGAATTCATTGAACATTGAGAGGTAAGCACCTTTTTCTTTTGGATGTTTTTGGTATCATGTGAAACTGAATGCATTTAAGATTTTGAACAACTTGAACCTCCAAGTCAAATAGAGCATCAGATTGCATTAATCTATGAGAATAAAACAAAACAAAGACCAATGCTTTTAATATGAGCATCTTTACAAAAAGTACCAACTTACCACATAAACTTTTCAACAAAAACAAAATATATAAATATTTAATGCAATTGAAAAAAATATATAAATATTTAATGCAATTGAAAAAAATATATATTTAATGCAACATTATCTCTGGAATTAATTTTCGGGGAAAAAAATATTAGTTCTCCAATCCTAATTCGAAATATTGCATCACCAAATAATTAAATGTTATCGTTTAAATGCAGCGACCCACTAATTGGCTCAAGCTTAGGTAGAAAGCAAGTGAAAGTGAAAAAGAGATATTTTATAATGTCAAGAGTTAGTTAATTTGATTAAATCAAAATATATTGCTCGTGGGACATGAATTTGTAAACTCACATTTTGGAGGAGAGATATTGGGCTATTATAAGGAAGACTTGTATTATATTAAATTTGGATGAAGAAATAAATATGGATAAATAGGTTGGATCTTAACTCAATTTAATAGCTTAAGTTTTTTTTGGTCTATTTGTAAAGTATTCCGTGTTAACCTATATAATTAGTATTTTTTTTTTTCAATTACATATTGTATTAGAAAATATACAATATTCCATTGGGCTAATTCAGAGTCGCATTAACTATGTTATTGAGTTGACTCAGATACGCGAGGACACGATTATGAAAATCCAAAGAAGGAATCTTCATGTTCTGAATCACATCTTGTGCTTTCAATTACGCTTTGAAGACCATCCGTTTTTTCCTCTTTTTATACACATCATTGTCTATATATATGGAATAAGAGAACAACACACATATACAAACACATTTAGAGAGAGAGAGACAACCAGAGTTAGAGTGAGAAAGCCCAGACATTTAGACAGAGACCCAGAGTTAGAGTGAGAAAGCCTGCAGAAATGGGAGCCAATTTGCCAGACCTGAACTTGAATTTGAGTCCAAGTCAAGTCATCCCCCAGAGCATTTCTGAATTTCTCAAAGAAATCTCGGTGATTGATGATTTTGGAGAAAAATCATCTAAGCTTGATGAGTATGTCCACATGTTAGAAGATGAATTGAGAAAGGTCAACGGATTGGAGCGTAAAGTACCTCTATGCATGATGCTTTTAAAGGATGGTCTGTGTTGTCTCTCTCTATAGAACTCTCCTTTTTTATCTATGCAGATATGTACATATATATTTTATTTCTTTTACTTTCTTTGTTTTTGTTTTTGGATTTGCAGCTATGGAGAGATTGATGGTGGAGAAGAAAATGCAGGGTAAGGAAACAGAGGTCTGGCATGGTAATTTGGATAAAGGTATAGGGGCAAAAATGTCAATTGATTGCAGTGAAACGGAGGACTGGTTGAGCTCTGCTAACCTCTGGAGCTCTACTAACAGTAACTGTGATAACTCTGAGATCAAGAAACAAGACTCAGGATTAGACCTCAAATCGGTAAGAAATGATACATACATTATATATATACACTATAATCACACCCCCACAACAGAAAGTTGTCTAATTTGTTTTATTTTTAAAAAACATGAGGATTTTACAAAATGGGTATTTGAAATTTTCGATTGTTGATGGCAGAGAGAGAAAGAAGATGATGGTTCTGCTATAAAGAGCGGATTTCAGTTGTGTAATTTCAGGCGCAGGGAAGGGGCATTTGTGCCTTTTCTGGGAGGCTCTAGTCTGACAGTAAAGGAAGAGAGAGAGATTTTAGCCGTTGATGATGCTCCATCGTTTTCAAGTACGGTTGCTGACATAGGGTCTATCGATTGGAATTTGGATTTGAAGAACGAAACTAGCTGTGTGTTGTCAATGGTGACAGACCAAACAAAGCAAGCTGAGAGTAAGCCTCAATTGCAGCACCGTGAATACCGTGAACCGAAGAAACAAAGACGATGCTGGACGCCACAATTACATGGCCGATTCGTAGATGCAATTCAGCAGCTTGGATCAAGAGGTTGGACATAAACAAAATTTCTTATATCCATAAACACTCTGTTTCGGGTTCAAACTCAAACCGTTGAGGGTTGAAGTTTGACGTCGAGGTAGCAACAGTTGCACGCGACTGTTACATGGCGCTCAGTCATTGATCTGATTGCGCGAGTCAACCTCGTTAAAGAAGTTATTATTTATTTATTTTTTAAAACAATTTTATTTGTTAGAGACATTTTAAAAAAAAATAAAAACTTTAAAAAAAATAGAGACAGTGTTTAAGAAATAATTTTAGATTCAGTTGGACTACAAGTTTGAATATAAATTTTTATTTTAAAATGAATCTCCAAATAACAAGAAACCGTTGGCCGACAGAAAGGTCTAAACGATTTAACATTATTGTTATATTCCGAGTATGTTTTTTTAATTGAATTTTGTGCCGGTTAGTGTTGTTGGAGAGATTTTATTTTTATTTTTATTTTTAAGGCTATTTTAAAAAATGATTTTAGATTCAATAATACTTTATATCGAGTGTTGTCGCTCTCCAAACAATATGGATAACTGATTTGATGACACGTTATTGTTATTTATTTACGTTTTAAATCAATTTTGTTACGTTGTTATTTAGATAATTTTTTTTAATAAAAATAACGTGTTTAAAAAATATTATAGATTCAATAGGATTTTATATACAGTGAAAGAGGACTCTTGTCGAATCTAAACGTTTTTGTTATTATTTAATTTTGTCACGTGTTGTTGGGAGAATTTTTTTTTTTTTTAAAAAAATAAGACCGTATTTAAAAAATGATTGGAGATTCAATAACACTCTGTATCTAGCTAATAAAAAGACGTCTTGTGAAATACAAAGAAAATAAAATATATAATACAATCAAATAACCTTTTACGGGGTAAATCTTTTAGGCACGCTAGGAGGGCGTTTAGGTTCAACCTATGCATATTTGTGTGTTTAGGAGGTTTTATGTGTGTATATATATACACTACTAAAACACACGTGCATTGTCCGTGAGTTGAAGTTTGAGCATAATGACTTTAAAGTAAAAATTGTAAACCCGTGAGCTGAAGTTTGTGCATAAATGACTGCAAAGTAAAAATTGTAAACACAAATATATATATATATATATATATATATAAAAGAATAAGCATTATTATTTATTATATACAAATGATATTATAAAAATATATAAATAACGTTATAAAAATTAAATATAAAATTAACCTTGTATATAAATCCTCAGAAATTTATCTTCAACCAAGATAAAATCCTTATACGTTCAATTAATCGCAAATCATATTATATTATATAAGCCAAGTGTTTTTGCAGTTGGTGAAAGAGGTTCATAAACTTTTGCATTTTGTGAAAAAGAGGTGAAAGAGGTTCTGAGTTAATGACTTGTCCAAGTAGACTCCTTGACCACCTGGGGTACCTGGGTTGGCAGGTTGATTTTGCCTACAAAGCAGTCTTAATGTCTATGCACTTAATTGAATTCGTTTACCACTTAATTACCTAATTACCTAATTAACTTTATATATATATATATATATTATACTTTAGTGTCTGAATTGGTCTTTTCCTTTTGCTGCAGCTACTCCCAAACATATTAGGGCAGTCATGGGAATGGATGATCTAACCAATGATGAAGTAAAAAGTCATCTGCAGGTATATCCCTTTGAGTTCTATATTCTGCCTTAATTTCAAAATTTCAATATATCTTTTGCATGCTATATATATGACATTGGTGATGGTAAAAACTGTTGCAAATAATTAATGTATATATGTATATTGCAGAAATACAGACTTCATGTTCAAAAACTTCAAAAAGCTTATTCAGAGACCACCGGATCAAATGACTCGGTACGATTCCCTCTCAATGGTTATCAAACATTACTGTCAAAGGAAAACATGGCTCATTCCAGCACTCCACAGGGTCCCCTCCGCTTGACTGGCTTTGGAAAAGGGGTGTCTGTAATGAGTGGTAACAGCAAGGAGTCTGAAGAGAATGAAAAATCAGAGAGCCATGGTTGGAAATGTTGGTCGGCTTCGCAAGCCCTTTGAAGATCGATGATGTAGGGTTTAGCTTCACCATGCATTCTGAAGATACATATATTATATATAGATAGATGCTGAGAGGAATATATATATCTATATATATATATATATACACACTTTTGAGGCACTGTGATTAGAGTTGCTATGAAAATATATATGCGTTTTTATTTTTATTTTTTTTTTATTCGTAAACTTGATATCTCTTTTCTTCCTTTCGGAAGTCTTTGATGTAATATCTTTTTCTTCCATCAAAGGAACTAGACTTTATTATTGATATGGGTGGTTTTCTTTGTCGCTGGGTTAGTATTTTACAGTGCGTGAAATGACCTGAAAATTGATTATATATTTTGACCTTATACGAAATGAAATTTAGGAAAAATTACAAAAAAAAAAAAAAAAAAAAAAAATCCTACTTTCATCATCAAGTCCTATCAATTAATTAATAATTTTTTTGTTTTATTTCATGTTGAAAACAGTATTTGCCCCCTTTAATTTGGTATAACCAAACAATGGAATTGGACTTAATTATTCGGTTCATGGTTATTTTCAGTCTGCAACCAAAAAGTGGTCATTTTGGGTTTCTATACCATTCTTATTTTAATGTTTTTCGACATAGAGAAGAAACATGATTAAATCATATAATGTTCTATCTCATTCCTTAGTTTTGTATTTGAATTTCTGTCATTAGTTCTTTTATACTTAAGAATTTTTTAGGTTCATTTCTGTGGTCACATGCATGATATTTTATCAATATTTCTTACTCATTGAAATATCATTTTTCAATATTTTTATAATCCCTCTTGTGCTTTCCAAATATTTCTTAATTAATTGCAAGAACTTGAAGACTAATTATTTGCCAATATATAGCTTTATGATCTTTCCTAACCCTTGAATTATATATTTCATTTCTGCTCTATCTGTTGAAGTTGAAGATCACTAGTAAATTAATGTTGTTACCCTAAAGTTGACAACTGATTAGAAATTTTACCAAGTTCTGGTCTTAATTTATTGTTAGACGAAATTTTCATGGTAAGGTTTGTGTAACTTTTTTTTAAGAAGTTATTTATTTATTTATTTGGGATTATCAATTATTCATTGGTTAACTGTGATAAAATAAGTTCAATAGTTAACAATAAAAATTCTGTAAAACTAACCAACTGATCGATAATGAAGTTTGCCTTTGATTATCCATTTGTCTATTTCCAATTTTCCTTGCATCAAGTAGCTCCACTTGCAGGCTCCATGATACAACAATGAAGTTGTGAATCTCACATAGAAGATTTGGTGGGCCCAATAAAATTATTTTGGTTGGAAAAGGGAACAACTTAAGATTATCAGTAACTTTGTTGGTGTCCTAACAAGTTCAATCGCCATATCTCTCCTTATCCTTTCATGTTTGTTTGTGAGATACTGATAACATGTGTATCTTCTTCTGATTATTACTTTCGCGATCTCAATTTAAGTATCACTTATGAATAACATTAATTTTTATAAGAACGTGTAAGGCATGTATTATCTTTTTAAAAAATTACTAACTTATCTTTTTAAATTTAAAATTTAAAAGACATTTATAGAAAGATGTGAAATATATTATTTGAAAAAAAAAATTTTGATACTTATTTTAGAATAGACAAAAAAAAAAAAAAAAAAAAAAAAAAAAAAAAAATAAAAAATTATGACACTTAATTTGAGTCGAAAAGAATATTTCTTTTATTTCTTTTTATGTAAACGAAAAAGATATTTAGGGACCAATATTTAATTTGTGGCAAAAAGTTTAATGAAAATGATGACAAACACTTCTTTTGTCCCTGATGCATATATGAGTGACAAATTAAAGTACTTTTGTTGGCTATTGTCACATGTTGTCAAATTCAGACCGTTAATCAAAAGAAAATGTCAGTGATCAACATGATTTGAACTTATAGTCTTTGAGCTATGAGCCTTACAAGCTACCAAATTGGTTTATTGGATGTTAAAAAGAAATGTTGAGAATTAATAGATAAATAGAGATTGAATGTGCCGCCTTCTATATCTGTACAAATACAACAACCTATTTGTACATTACGGCAAAGGAACCCTCTACCCTCTATGATTGATTGATGATCATAGAGAGGATTTACTACATTAGTGGCCACGATGGGACCAGCAGGAGCAATTACTCCACAAAAATTTTTATTTATATTTATATTTTTTATATATAAATTTTGATTATTCTTAAATTCCTCCCACTGAACTTTAAAAAAATTAACAAAAGGCCTTAAAAAAAAATTGCCAAAATTTTAAAAGATCCCTCCCTCCATTTGTCCAACGAAAATTTTAAATTTTTCAAAAAATCCATGTCTTCTCCTCTTTCGTGGATTTCACAAATTCAAATTTTTTGTTATTGCTTGTCCATACTCGAGTCGATTTCTGGCTTGGCCACTACAACACATGATAATTTTTGTCTCGTAGACTTTTTTTTCTTCTTATTTTTTGCATTAATATGACGTTGACTAAAACACAAAATATTAAATAAATTATATAGATAACAATAGCTAAGTAAAATTTCAAACTCTACAACTATAATTTTCAAATAACTCCTATTAATATGTGTCGGCTATGTATAGGCGCTGAAGATCATTTCGACTTCAACTCAACAAATATTCAAATTTTTTAATTTTGGTTGGGCCTAGAACAATTGATTAAAAATTGGGTCGATCTCAAGTTAACCTCAAATTGAATTATTTCCACGTATATTACATTTAAGGAGTCATAAATTATAACAAATCTTCTAGAAAGTAATAATCCAGACAATTAAAATATAATACATCGAGATTTAAATAATGATATAAAACCTCAAAAGAAGGGTTTATCACAATTATAAATATATAATGTTTGAAATTAATCCATGATGTTTTTTTTTTAAAAAAATTATGAACATATAAAAAGTAAGGACCCAAGTCCACCCCAAATGGGTAGTTGGGTGGAGAATTTTCCACCACGGTAAGTGTCACAGGGCTAAATTACACCACGAATTTTTGCCTCTGCAATGGCACTTGGGGCCACCAAGTCTCAGCCAACACAACAACACAATACACACAGTATAGAAATATAAAGAAGGCACACACAATTACAGGGACAAGCCCCAACCTTTGCTCATATTAAACATATTACAAAGGAACATGAGTTCGTACAAGAAACAACCAAGGCTCACACCCTCTTCTCTGTTCCCTCTACAAAGCCCACCTTAGCATTATATAGGCCACTCTCAAAACCGCCCATAACTGCCCACTAAGATGATGGATGACACCCCCATCCACCTAGGGTCGTGCTGGCACCCTCTAAATGAGCCAGCACTATAATGCAGTTGACAAGCCCAACTGCTAGACTTGTTGGCATGTTCTGCTCATGCCACATAACCACAAGAAGTTAGATTCTGGATAGTGGAGGAAACCACCCTTAACCGCCTGTGTGTTGGTCCTCTCAGAATTGTGCCACATGTTTGGGAGGTTACTCAGCACTCCCCCACTTCCCATGATGAGTGGGAAGTGCTAGTAATTTCCCCCAACCAACCGAGCCCACTAAGCCACCACCTCTTGTAACCGCAAGCCATGACTTTGTGTTGTCCATGCTCTAGCCACATCTGAGTCAACCTTGTGAACTTAGCCCAAGCCAAGTCCACCAATCTGCACCCACATATATATGTCTCTGAGTGCACGGCGTGCCAAGCCATGCACGCCCGTGCGCACGCTCGGGTGCACACCAAAGTGCACGCCGGCGCACACACTAGTGCCCTTCTTCGCGCCCCATGTTTGAACCTTCATGCGCCTGCGGCTATACGCCCACCTGGACGCCCATGTGCACACTGAGCTAGACGCTCGAGCACACTAGGTTGGACGCCTACCCGCGCGCCCACCTGCACGCCGGCACGCGTGCCGCTGCACCCCAGCGCGCGTGTCGGTGCCCACTTGTTTGCCCTTCAATATCTTGGATGCTCCCCACTTATGCAACCATCTTGGAGTGGTGCAACACGTGCCCATGCACGTTGGCTAAGCCCTCTAAGCAAGCCATGCCATAGCCCAACCGATGTGCTCAACAGACCCCCCTAATATAGTCTTAAAGAAATCCAGCACTCTGACAGGAGTAAACATCACCCATGCTTGAGGAGTCATAATGGCCTTTCAGACCTTTCCCGATATCCAAATTGAGTGCCGTCTGCGCCAACCAGCTTCTATGGACTCAAGGTACCTCCCATAAAGATCCTAAGTCAAAACTCCAAGTTTCACTTTTCGCCATATTTACGAAAGTGCCACTGGGCACCCCCAGTGCACGCCGAGCATCCTTTTAAGCATCTTGTGTGCACGCTGAGCATCTTGTGCACACTGACAACCCCCTGAGCAATCCTCATGGCTGTCTAACCAAAGCCAAAGTATTCCCAAGACATGGCATGGCCTTGAAATGCCCATGTCTTCCCTTGGACAACCGTCAAGGGGCTAACAGTAAGCTAGAGCCTTGGGCGGTGGGCCGTGGCCTAAGCCCAACCAATAGAAGACTCCCAAACATTTTTTTTTCTTTATATGTATGTTGTTATTTTCTTAAAAATTTTATTTTTCTTATACCACCTTTCTAAATTCTATTTTCTTATAATATCACCCCTTTCAATTAAACGAGAATCTAAGGGTTAGTTTGGTGTGGTGGAATAAAATAAAAAAAAATGGAATGAAATGTGTTTTTTTCCATTCTCGTGTTTGGTGCTAATTTTAAAATTAGAATTATCATTCTCCACTATTCTTGGAGAATGGTTATTCTATCAAAATCATTCCATCTTCCAACAAAATGAATGACCATTCCATTCCATTCTTATTCCATTACCACATCCATTCTCATTCCATTCCACCACACCAAACTAGCCCTAACTTTTTAAGAAGATGTGTTTTATTATTTTGGGTTAATTTCACTGACACTCCCTCAGGTTTGGCCAAATATCACATTGAAACAACTTTGAAAAATAACTATCACTCGACCTGCAAACGTTTGTTTCGTCTTTCACTCACACCTCAATCGTCATGTGCAGAGCTCTGATGCTATATAAAATGACTTAAATATTCTTTAACTTTGTCAAAATAGTTCTCAAACCTTAAAAAATCAGAAAAAAAACTAAAATAACCCTACATAATTTACAATTATATATTTATATATGAATATAAATATATAGTAATGTGTATATGTATATAGATCAAAGCTTATATATATATATATAGAGAGATATATTATTCTCTATATATATATATATATATATATAGTGCTTTGATTACAAAATAACTTTGAGTAAGACTTCTTTGATTGAGATAAGAGCATCTCCAATGCAAAAATGCCAAATTTGGATGCCAAATCTATATTTTGACAGTGTTATAGTGTCAAATGTTACATTTTAGCAATTCCGCTCCAATGATGAAAATGTTATTTTTTAACACAACCATTATTCTTTTTCAACTACCATTCCCACCATTCATATTTGCATCAGTAATGTTAATATTAGGCACATTCAAAGTC